GGCGAGCCGGCTGCGGGCGCTGCTTGTGGCTGAGGCTGGCTCTGCCGGCGCGTTATATTAGCCTTAGTGGAGGCCTCCTGAACAGAACAACATGATGAAACATGTAATTAAGATGGAGCTAAGGATGCATGACGAGGCCGACTGAGCGAGAAATGGATTTGATTTTTTTTTTGTCTCCTTGCAGAAATCATCCACTTCAGCAGGGAACTACCCATTCTGATTTTTAAAAGCCTGAATTAAAAATAAATTACTTAATACAAATGAAAAGGTTTATAACCTGCAACCCCCTTTACCCAAAGCATTGCTTTTTACTTGCAATAAACACATCCCATATGATATATCGTGCTTTTTCTTAAACCTCTATGCCAAAAATGTAAGGACAACACAACAGTGCCTCCCACCCATCAAGTAAGAAGGGGGCAGGCCCATCCTTTTGTTCCATCTGCCCCCTATCAGATCTCCCCGGCAGCCTGGCAGGGCTCTGCTCCTCTCTGTGGCGCGTTCTCCAGAGCTTTGCTTTGTTTAGTTTAAATGATTCATGCAGGAGAGCTTAGAGGTTTTCCTTGGAGAGGTTTTTCCAGCCCTTATAGACCTCACAGAGAGGTTTCCTAATATTCCCCTCTGCTCACTTTCATTCTATTCCTCCTCACTTGTCCCACAGACCATTTCAAAAAAAAAAAAAAACTATCCTTCCCTTCTTAGTGGAGCAGCTCTCTCATGGGAGGAAAAGGAGAGAAAAAGAATCCATTTTAAACGGAGCTGGATGGGTTGTAAATAGGATTAGAGGTCATGGTTACTTGAGGTAACTGAAGTCTTGGGCAGGCATTTCAGGAGAGGCCCTCCAACCCTGTTACCTATGGCACTGCTGCTACTGGGCTCCAGTGGTGGAAACAGTCGTGGTTCCCCAGCCTGGGGAATGGAAAAAGGAGATTGTCTGGATTCCAAGCAATGAAAAGGGAAATGCTCCAAAACAGAGACTCACTTCTTTTTCCTGTAGTCCTTGGACTTCAGTGGTCCAAGACACTGACACCAGTGAAGGCCACAGTCCTGCTAAGTGTCTCAGTGCTGCTGAAACTCTGGGAAAACGAGCATAAGTTTTAAACAGCTTGGGTAATTGAGGGAGAACACCTCTCCCTGCCCTGTGCCTGAGCCATCACTCTCCAGCTGGAAAGGATGTGTCCTCGAGGCACTGCACAGTATGACGTGAGGCTGGGACACATCTCTTCCTTCCTGGCCTCGGGAGAGCCCTCTCCGTGCCCCTGGAGCCCTGGATGGCCCTGCACTTGCCACTCGCTTGGCACGCTGCCGGCACAGGGAAGGTGCTGCCTACCCGCAGCAGCTGGGGCAGGGACTGAGGTTTTGACACTGGTGGGGATACCAGTGCGGTGGGGATGGAGCGCTGCAACATGGGCAGTCCTGCAGCCAAACAGGGCAGAGCACAGGATTAGAGTCACCAGTAGTAGGCCACTATACAATTATTACTTGCTTCAAATACTGATGTTATATTATCCTGTCTGCACCACGGCAGGCCAAGGAGATGAAGGGCTGTACAGTGAGGCGAGCACAAGGGATGGAGGGTGATTTTCATACTCACGTCATAGATGGGAGTAGCTGGTGCAGGGTTGGGTGAAGGGGGCTGCGTTTCCACATTGTGTCCCAAGATATTTAGGAGCCGGTTCCTTCCAGGACACAGCACCTGCTTGGGACAAGACAACAAACAAGACTTGGAGAAAACCACCATCTCCCCCTTGGAATGAATGTCAAGTGACACGAGACCCAGCCACGCACAGCACTGATGCAGGAAGAGCGGTAAAGCAGCCCTCTGCTCAGAGCGTGAGCGGAAATGCACAGAGGCAAAAGCAGTCACTTTGCTCAGGACTTGTCTAGGAAGCTGTTGGTGCTGCCCCCGAGTAGAGAAAAGCAAGACATGAGCATTAATGGCAACATACAGTCTATGGCGCCCTAGCATGCAAGTCCAACGTCTTTGAAGGAAGAAGGTCTTTTGCCCTGAAACATTTCTTGCATCGGATAAGTTTTCCCTGAACATGCTCCATTCACACCTGGATAAGGATGAGTCCTGCTCTGCAAGCAGAACAGGCAGGCAAGGCAGAAGGCTGTACTAAGCATCTTTGTTCTAATTCAGAAAGAAGTGAGATGATTATATTCACATCACATGAAAACGACAAACTGCTTTCCAGTCCATTAGTAACTAAGGAGGATGCTAAATAACTTCTCTTAAAGATAAACATTTTAAAATCAGCAGGTCTGAGCAAGATGTGGTGAGAAATATGTGCTCTGTTCTGCAGGAGGGCACATGTAATGGCTGCATTGACTCTCCAGGTCCCAAAGAGAGCCTGGAGGTTCGAGACTTGCTGATGCACCTCAAAACCTAGCGATGTCAGTCAACAAGTCATGACAGAGCCTCCCTCCTCATCCCCATGGAGATGCTCCCTAGGCAAGCAGAGACGGGGGCTTGTTTCCATCCGAGTCACTTTGCTGCCTGTGCTCCTTCCCCCTCCATCTAACCGCCTGCAAGGTGAGAAGTGTCTGGCAAGGAGCAGCTCAGCAAGGCTGCCAACTTCTGCCATTTGGTTTGCAGTACCATGATGCTTGACGGCAAGTGCCACGAAGCGCCTCACTCCTGCAGTCAGGGCACTGCCCCATGTAAAACACCAGCAGGGGGGTTGCTGCTGTGGTGGCAGAAAGCAGCTCGAAAGAATAAGCAGTGGAGATACGATACCTAGAAAACAAAACCCCCCAGTTCAGTTCTAAAAGACACCAGGTTTATTTAAGTTGGTCTGGAGATCTATGTAAGGGTGCAAAGGATACTCTATTGAAAGCTTGGGGCAGCATGAGAAGCAATAGGTTTTGCCCAGACAACAGGGATTTCAGTGTCGCTATTTCTCATTTTTTTCCACGGGGCCTTGTCTCATACAAACCTCCCAGCCCCACTCTTGTCCCTTCTGTGCTCCACATCCTCTCCTTCACACCTCTGGTTTGTGCTCAGCAGTTCATCCCAAACTCCACAACCTTACCCAGCTGGTCCCAGTCTGTGCTGCTGGTCTGCTCTGCTGTGGATCCTTCTCCCTCCAGTCTTAACACCCTGTCCAAGAGCTGTCCAAGCTCTAGTGCTTTCCAGGCTAAAGTAATCACAGAATGACTGAGGTTGGAGGCACCTCTGCCCATCATCTAGTCCTACCCGCTGCTCAAAGCAGAGTCAACAGGAGCAGCTTCCTCCTCAGGCCCTTGTCTCACTCTTATTTTCCGGTTAGTCGGCATACCCATGCAGGCTGCACTGCGATCCTTTTCTTAGCTTTTGCCTCTCACCCTGTCTCTTAATGCTTCCTGTGACAAACAACGGCCCAAGCCTCTAGTGAGCACCTTCTCCACTCTTCAGACTGGTTTCTCTTGTGGTACCCAAGCCATGGCTCAGAAAGGCGCTGCACAGTCTCCCTGCAAACAGATCATGTCCCTGGCACTAGAGTAACCCCTATCTTGAAGGAGGATTAGATACAGGAAAAATCCTGTCCTTCCCTTATCCCTACCAGTGATGCAACAGACTGGGACAGTTGGGATGGCAGGACACTGCCTGCGAGGCTGGCACTGCGAGGAAACGCAGTCCCCGTGCAAATGGACAAATCAATGTCTTGTTTTGTCTTTCTGTATTTTTTTTTCTCAAAAAGACTTAAAAAAAGAAAATAAACCTGAAGGAGGCACTCAGCATGGAAAATTTCAGCACGGGGAGTTCCAGTTTGGACAAGTTAGAGGCAAGTGAAATAAATTCCTAGAACAGATCACGTGAGATATTGCCTTTCATTTGGTAGTAACTTGCCTTTCTTTTCCACAGTAGCAGACCTGTTCCAGTGATGCTCAGTGCAGCAAAGATAGTGGTAAATGTAAGGAGAATTTCCCACCTGTAAGAGGTCTGTATGTAAACTGCATCTGTGGGGAAAAAAAAGGCAAAAGATTCACAACATAAGTGGAAGTAAGTTGCATTTTTAATTCTGTCTAGAAGTCATGAGATAAAATACAGAACCAGTGAAGAGGAGGTGACCACAAATGCACACATGCTTCTAAACAAAAACGGAGTCTGACTGTGCTAGAGAGTAGGGAGCAGATGGAGAATCACACAAAGGAGACAGGGTATTAGCAGCTAGACTTTATTTTTTTTGCAGCTAGACTCTATGTATTAGTTTAAAGGGAGGTGAAGTGAATATGGGAGCCACAAAAGGTGGTAGTGAGAGCCTGGCAAAAGTCTAGTGATAGGTGGCAAAAACAGGTGGTGGGGAGTACAGAGGCCACGCAGTCTAGCCGGGTGGGCACTGCCAGCGCCCCCTGACCAGTGTGGCAAAGCTCTTCGATCACAGCTCTTCACATTCACCCTTTCTAAGAAGTCCAGACCACATTGTGGTCTGCCAGGACACTGCCACTAAAAGCACCCTCTGAACCTGGGCCCAGGGTCCCTGCTTAGACCCTGGTTTTCAGCCTGGTGTTCCCAACAGGCTGCTTCAGGGCAGATATAAACAACTGCACCTTTATACTCCCATGTGTGACATGGGAATTGTGGCACAGCGACCCAGTGTAAAGCGCATGATCTCTGATGGCATTAAGCATCAGACACTATTATTGCTCCCACCTGACTCCATGGCTTATTTGGGTAGAGAAAAAGAGCAAATACGATCTTTTCACAGCAAGATGCAGTTGAATTTTAACCAGTCATTCTTCCTTTCTTTTTTTTTTCCACTTACCTGTGGCAAGGACAAATACTCCCGCTCCCATTTTCACAGTGTCATCCCATATGACCTCACAGTAATACGTGCCAGTAAAAGAGGTGCTTTCAAGTGGCATGGTTTTGTGACTGTAAGATCGGGTAGTGGTCTTGTTTTCTTCTCCAGGAGGGATGGGTATGTCTAATACCTTTCTATCGATGAATGTTTTCTTGCCCACTGAGTTAATCCAGTAATAGCAGATTGAAAATTTGGTGTATTTCATGATGTATGGGAAGGTCACCTCGCAGGGGATGGATATTGTTTCCCTGAGCAGCGCAACCTGGATTGGAGGTCTCTGCTGTACACTGACCTGTCCCCCTGCAAGAGTGATACTTGTTAGCAGCCACCTGACAACACTGTAAGTCGGATAAAACTTGTGTTGCCCCAAAGCCACCAGCAGCAATCACATGGTAAATATAAGCATATGCTCAAGAACCTGCACCCACGCTGTAGCATGTGGCGTTGGCCCTTGTCAGAGAATGAGTGATGCAGAGCACATGCCCTGCATGATCTGTCACATCTCTTAGGTAATCACAGTGTGATCTGAGCTCCTCTGTTGCAATCACAGGCTTCCCCTTTTCCCCTGTGAGCTCCTCTGTACAATACCAGCGTGCAGAAAGACAAGAAGGGAAGCAGGAAGCGGACAGATTTTGCAGTGTGTGACTACATTTACAGCTGGCGAGACTGGAAAGTGATTTTCCAAGACAAACACTAGCTGGACCATTTCTGTAACACGGGCTGCTGCTTGGGTGTGTACGCATGCACGAGCGGTCTCTTTGGGTGAGTGAAAGTCTGGCATGCAAGCAGCAGGGTCAGTGGAGCTGTGTATTTCTGAAGTGGGAGGAAGGAAATTGCATATTCTGCATGGGGGCCAGCACTGGGACTCTGAGAATAGGATACAGCTTAACCACTCCAAACTCTTGCTGCTCTAAATGGGCAGCAAAGTGAAAGCCCAAAGGCCACACACAGGAACAATCTGCAGAGGGCCACAGATTTTAAGTACCTACGTGTGACTACCTCAGGCAGAGAGACAGGAGAGCGTGCCCTCCAGGTGCCCTTGCTTACATGGTTGTGCTGAAAGTGAATCTATCCTGCAACTCAGTGACAAGAGAGTATGAAGAAGCATAGAACAGAACTCCGTAATTCACTCTCTACTTTGTTTACTAAAAGGAAAAAAGCAGCTAAGAGTGTGTCTGGATCTATGTATTTAGAAGCTGGCCTAACACCCCCAGAGAGCAACTAAAGGGGCAGTCTATCCGAAGCAGTCTTTTAAAATAGTGGAACAACAGAGGGAAGCTATGGTCACTCTCCAGAAAGGACTCAAGAAAGTAACATCAGTTAAGCCAAAACCCCTACAGATGACACAGCCAAGGACAGCAGCCCGAGAGCAAGCGATAGTCCAGGTTATATCACTAGCAAAGAGTTCTTAGCTAGCAAAGCAATAGGCACGCAACACAGTCCTAAGAGACAGGCGTGTTCACTGCGAACGCAGTCCCGTTCAGACTGGGGACCATATTATGAAAAGAAAGTAATGGAGAGTCCTGCGGGCACTGTTGGCTTGATAACCCAGGTTGTCTCTTTTGCGCCTTATTTTCTCAGATATGATCATTCATCCTTCTCTTTCTCATCTCCACCCAGCAGCACATACATGAATATATGAATATAGCTTTTTTTTTTTTTAATAAGGCATTGTAAAGCACTGAAGTAAGACATCAGGGGAGAGATCTATCTTCTTACAGTGTCCCAGGAGCTTGGGAAGAACATCCCAGGGAAACAGCCAAACCATTTCACTCAGGTTATACAACCCTTCTCCCATGTTCCCTCTTTTCTGAGGACTCTCTCCATAAGCTTTGAAATGCTTAAAAGACAGAAATAGCAGCAGTGTGCAAATTCCTGGAGGGGATCTCTGGAAATTAGCAAAAGATAGCAGCTGGAAATGCTCGAATATGAACAAATGTGAGAGTAAACAAAAGGAATAAAAAAAATGCTTTTTTACCTCCGTACCGAAGCGACCAAAGAAACAGGAAGATGACTTTTAGATTAGAGGCCATGATAGGGTCAAAGGCTGCAAGAAACTGGCCAGATACGAAGATCCAAAAGGAAAAAAAAAAAAAGATAGGGTTTTGTCAGGTATTTCCACAACTGTGAAGCTGTTTGATCCCCTCCTGTTTGTAAAGGGCCAGGCGGAATGGACACACACTGCTTTTGGCAAGCTGTTCCTGGCAGATGCAGCCTCTTCTGCTTTTCTGTTAGACTCCTCCCTGCACCGTGGTTCATTTCTCTGTGCTGTTAGACAGTGTTACACCTACCAGCGGGTGGCCAAAGATGAGGCTGTGAGCTCCTCAGCGCAGAGCTTTTGTCTTCCAGTGACCGGAAAATATCACACACGCTTAAAGCAAACTTTGCTGCCTTGCACAGTGACTGCAAACCTCCAGGATGACATACGGGGGGGAAAGAAAAGTGCTTTGACTGATGGAGTTTGCTCATGAGGTCATTTGAGGTGAACAAGGTCAAAGGTAGTGACTGATCCCACTGACTTTTGGACAGCAGGCAAGCTTAAAAGGGGCATATTGGGCATTTTTAATGTAATAGTGCCCAGATTTGTTTTCCTAATTGTTATGGGACAGCAATTCCTGATTACGTCACTGGATGAACCACCTAAATTTTGGAGTAAGAACACCTTACTTCAAACTATCTTAATCGAGCGGTTTGTTTATGCGTGGAAGCTACTGGGCAGTACTGTAGGTGTGGGTTCATGGCACCATCACACTAGCTCTTTATGCGAATACTCAAGAGCCTGTTTTTGCCTTCAAAATGGAGAACAAGGACCTACCGTACAGAGGAACGGTTCTACTGGACCACTTACAGCAAAAATCTTCCCTCCGCAGCCAACTCCTCCTCTGGATCACTTTGGAGGAAGGTGTTCATATTCCAGGACTGAGAACATCCACACAGGGAATTCGCCTGTAACAGCTGTGATGTTTCGGCTTCGCGCCACGCTGGCTCTCAAACAGCTTTGCGCTGCTGGCAAGCCGTGACAAGGTCTGTTGTAGGGACATCTATGGAGAGCCCTTTGAAGAAGAAAACCCTCTCTTTGTGGGATGATCCTACCGCTTATAGTCACGAAGAGTTTTTGATTTCAGCGAAAGCTTGTTTTCAGCTAAGACGTCTGCAATGCAACTGCTGAGCAGTGTCTGATTCTGAAAAAACACCCGGATGTTGGAGAGGTCTTCGCTTTTCTCCAGACAGCTTCCTCCTTTCACATTTCTTGTGAGCCAAACCCACTGTCCACATGAAGGCACATCACTGCAGCGCTGAGGGTGCCTGCTCATCCCGCGTGTTGGCTGTGGACCCTGGTTGGAGACGACTGTCTTCTGCCCATGCTGTTGTTCAGAGTACGCTGGGGAAGGCCTAAGAGAGGAAGAGAACTTGTAAATTGAGTGTAGACAAAATTACTGCCTCCACTTCGTTGTTTTATCACTCCAGGGTGCTTGTATGAGCGAGGTTTGCAACCAAGCAACCCTTGGCTTGCAGCATTTTTCCTGCTGCCTAGCCTAGGCCCTGTCCTCAGGAGGAAGAGGTCTCTGGCACAGGGGGGCAGAGCCCAGCTGTGGCCGCTGCATCCCCAGAGCCCAGAGGTGGCTCCAGTACCTTGCTGAGAGCCCTGACAGATGGAGAGAGGAGCAAGTGGCTTTGTGCAGCCCTGCAGGGCTGCGGCAGCAGCTGCGCTCCTCCAGGGAAGGTTTAGCTCAGATTAGCCAAAACGGGCTCCTCTCCCGAAGACATGCTGATGTGAGCTGCACGGGCCTGGTCTCAGCTGGAAATGGCTCCTTGCCGGTCTTAAGGCTGAGCAGCAAGGACAATCAAGAGCGGTAACAAGACACTTGGGGCCCGCCTGGTATTTCAGATCTGCAGGCACAGCTCAGGTAGCTGTGGCTCTGGGGGGCTGGGAAGTCACGACGATGCTCAGCAGCATTTCTCAGGCCTGAGCCACATCTCAAGGCAGCTGGGGGAGGGAGGGAAAAGCGGCAGGGGGTTGTACCCTCCTGCGGAAGAACTCTGCTGGACACCGAGGGCTCCCTAAACTCTTACAGCACACACTCCCCACAGCAGCACGTGGCTCTGCCATTTCCAGCACTGATGTATTTCTAGTGCTGCTTCTGTCAGTGATGTGTTTTAACTGTTATCAGCATTTATCTGCTTCAGGAATTCAGAGCGATAAGTGGATTAAGTGCAGTATGTTTGTAGGGCTGTTAGGTCAACATCCTCCTTCTGTCCTTTCCCTCCTCTTCCTATAAACAAACCCATCGCCACTCTAAATGCCAAGGCCTAGAAATACCACTGCCTGGAATTAAAAAAAAACATATAGATCTAGCATTTCAAAAGAGATCACACATAAGACTCAGCTGTGGGATTAGAAGCACACCAGGCCAGAAATACATTCTCTGCTGGAATTTGCTATGGTAGAGCCTGCTAAAAAGAAATGGCTTTGAAATGACTACCCAGCAGCTATTTAACTGCAAGACAGGCTGACATTCTGCTCCTCAGAGCCCAGAAAGCGCCTGAATCTTTTAATGTTAAATTCTAATTCAATTTGGTTTGGGAATTTTAGAGAGAGATTTAACCTTAAAGACATAAATGGGAGGAGGATGAGGAAAAAGAGTGGAGTGTGGTAACCAGCCTGTAGTGGGGCTGGACTGTCCCTCCCTGGAACTTTGGTGGAACTTAACTAGGGCGCACGTGCCAAAGGGTATAAATTACAAAGCTGATAAAGGAGAGGCTGTTTTATGACCTTCAGCCATACAGACAGGGTACGATTCTGTGTGTGAGCAGGTCCCTGCAGCACAACGCAGAAGGAACGGCTTGCCCAGCTGTGCCTCAGGCACAGCACACACTGGCCAGGATCTGCACGGCTCGGTCTTTCCTCTGAAACAGCAAACGTTGAGCGCTTCCTGAGACTAAATATAGGACTGGGCCAGGTGCTAGCAACAGTTTCTGCCTGTAGCTGGAGGGCGTCCATTTATTTCACTCAAGCTCTATTAAAAGCCTGTGATAGTGGCCAGCATTCCCAACCGTGAGGAAAAGCACATGGTTTTGGCACTCAAGAACAACAAGTTTGTGCAAGTGCTGAACCTACCAGAATTGCCTGCTCACAGCTGTGTGCAATGCACACCCACAAGCAAATGCACACGCACGCACGTGCCCACACATGCCCGCACAGCCAACTGCAGGGAAAGTATTTATCCAAACAAAAAGAGCGCTGCTAGCCAAGGCAACAGCGATGCTGCAGAGGCCACAACAAAGCCTCTTTACTGCCAAAGCGTTTAACGCCACAACCATCCAAAAGAGAAACACTGCTTGGCGCAGAGAAGAGCTGCAGCAGCTCAACAAGCCTCACTGCAGAGCCTGCCTGCGAGCATTTCAGAGCGTTCCCCAGCACAGCAGCTCTGGATTTGCTGCCTTGTCAGAAACAGGCTCAATCCTCACTGGAAAACCAGCCAGCGGCAACACATGCACCTCTGAGGATTCACAATCTCTTTGACTCCTCTAACCCCAGCCTCTGTGGCTTACAATTTCCCTCTGGCTGGTGGTAAGAGCAATAGAAGAGCCAGTACAAGCAGGGCTGTACTTCTGCCAGCGTTTTTACCACCGTTCTGTGTCTAGTGGCTCTCAGCAGGGCTGGATGCTGCTGAGGTGAAAACTGCCAATGCCCTCTCTGCATTTCTACCAGTTGAGCTGCTCTAGGGAAGAAAACAATCAGCAACTAGAAGGGAAACCATGGGAAGAAAGGTGTTGACACTGCTGTAGGGAAGGGAGGAGGTACTTTTTAATTCCCTTTCACCAACGAAATAAGCCTGCCTCAGAAACCATCCTGCTTTTGCTCTTTTTCCGTTCATCTCCTGGGAAAAGTCTTGGGGATTAAATTATCATCACATGCCTGGTGCACTCTCAGGGGCTCACGCTCAGTGCCTGTGCTTCAGCCTCATGGCATTCCCCTCCAGCAACCCCTCACAGGCAGGCAGGGAGCTGGGTTCTGTCTCTGAGGACTTCCTTGACTCCTCAGGCTCACATCTTGCAGGAAAATTTCCACCTGGCTCACTCCCAGAGTCTGAAGGGTTGTGAGGAACATGGGGAGAAGGTGAGGGGAAAGGAAAAGGAAAACGCCTTCCTCTCATGCTGTAGCCTTCATCCTGAAAACGCAGGAAGTCACTGTACAGAGCACCAGCACCTGGCTAGACACTGTCCATACGTTTATTGGTCTTACACAGATGCTCCTGTTGGCTTCCTCCAGTTGAGCACTCTTGACTGAAGCGGCGAAGTTGGGTATTGCCTTTTCCCTACCCAGCACACCATGAGAATCACAGAATCGTTAAGGTTGGAGGGAACCTCTAGAGATGATCTAGTCCCACTGGTGGAAGGTGAAGAGCTGCCCACGGGGAGGTCAGGCACCACACACCCCCAGCACGTCCTGTGTCATGCAGAATGAATCTCCAGCTCCAGCAGGCTGCGCTGTTATTAGGCAGAGCAAAGGTTGGAGCCCGGGCTCCTGGTATACTGCGGAGAGGCATCTGGGCGGCAGCCTTACCTTGCTGACGGCACCGTAAAGTGGGCCATGCTCTATCTTGTTTTGCAAGCTAGTGTGGGAGAGTTTCCAAGAGGAAAGGATGTGCGGGACAGTTAAATGAAACCTGAGCAACGCCCTGCATCTGCTAGTGCTGTTCAGGCTGCACCAGTGCCACGGCAGCCCCTCACTGGTGTTCCCGAACCCGTGCCCACCAACAGCGGAGCTGGGTGGTGGAAGGAGCAGGAGGGACAGGGCAGCCGCCTCCTGCGAGGGCGGAGGGGCACGGCCGCGCGCGCGCCTTCTTCCCGCCGCAATCGCCCGTCGGCGTCGGGGTCCTCCAGCCGGCCGAGGGGCGGTGGGAGGCAGCGCCGAGGCGGCCGCTCCGTCCCCGCGGGCGCAGGGAGCTCCGGAGCTGAGGGGAAGGCTGCGATCATCCATCTGTCTCGCCCGTGTTCCCAGAAATCCCGAGGGGGTTGTTCTTGGGAAGAGCAATCTTGCCCCTGGCCTTGCCTCCCGCAAGCGCTTGGCAG